AAAACATTGCCCAAATAACAATTTTCATTGACCATGTGCCAGGTTGTTGTTTGTTGTCTTTTGCAGAGGAAAATAAAATTTGAGTTGCATTGTCATTGATTTCCAAAACACTGTTACAAGGACAAAACAGAAATGATCACAAAAATATGCACATTTGATTACAATATTATTTACATACCATCAGAATTTCTAGGGTCTGTGAAAAAATGGTTCACCCATTCACACACAAATTTCAATGAACCGGTGTCATAACTTGGTATTAGTAGTTTAATTTGAGATGTTTAGTCGTACATGACCCCTTACACAGAGGGGGGGGGCATTTGCTTAGTCAGGATTGGGTGCTAAGTTGATATAAGATTGGTCAAGATGTGTCTTTGCTTTTTTTTTGCAGTGAATCCCTCCATGATTACAGTATTTATTGATGGTTATTTCGAAGAACCAATGGAAGTAGTAAAATTGTTTGGTTTACGTGGAATTCAGCATACACCAATGGGTGTGAAAAATGCCAGAATATCACAGCATTACAAAGCTAGCCTTACTGCAATATTTAATTTGTATCCTGTAAGTACAAAATATCAACATCAATTGGGTGTGGGTCAACACGTCACATGGGTGAGTCAACACGTCACATGGGTGAGTCAACACGTCACATGGGTGTGGGTCAACACGTCACATGTGTGCTGGTGAGATACAGTACAGTTCTCGCGAAAGCTTTGTGGCATCATTGTCGCCTATGCATGGCGTCATTGTGGCATCAGCTTCGCGTCATTGAAAATTGAAGCTGTGTTCGCCTTGCTGTTTTTGTGGCATCATCGTGGCCTCAGCTTCGCAGTCTCATGCTATCAACATGTTGTCCAGTCGGCCAGTCATCTTGATACAAAGTTCCAAAACAAGTGCGTACATTTCCAACTATGATTGGATGGTTGTGGCTTGAGCTCAATCTATACGTACTTTAAAAGTATTCTCACAAAAAATATTTTAGAATAAAAACGAGCCACATGCCCTGTAAAAAATCAAATAGCGCTTGCCATGCAGAAATAATTTGATTGGGCTTCAGAAAAAACGTGTCCATTTAGTTGTAGCCGTAAACATTTTTGGTGACCAGTCGATGAACAATTTGAAAATCATGATTTACACGGAAGTCCTCCGATACTGAAAATCATCGACCCCAGTCTGGTTGACCTTATATCCCAACTTGCAAAACTCATTTGTATCTCAGCCCAGTTTTTTTTCTTTTTTTGAACTAAGGTCAAATCCCGTCCGTTTGTCAAAATATAGCAATGTTTTTTAGTGAATAATTGTGAAGCCTGTCACAGCACATAAAACTATGTGAATCCACGCCAGAGATTGGATTGTACGACGACCCTTTAATTTGCGTCAAATATGCTTTGTTATAACATCATTGATTGACTGAGAATCACCTGATCGGAGCATGACCTGGGTCACAGATCCATATTTGTCCGTATTATCAACAAAACTTTGCGAGAAAACCATAACCACATTTTCAACCATTTCAACAAATGTTGAAAAACTCATGAATTTTATGGATTCGAATAAAATAAAGCTAGCTATTGGTAAGACTGGTTAATATTAATATATCCCCCCGATGCTCTTCGATTTTTTTTTATTTTAAGGTGAGAAATGGATAGTGATATTTCCATCGATTTCAAGGTGACTGTTTTACCGCGACAACTCTTTGCTCTGTTGTAGTTTCGCAAGGTAATAAAATATATAATAAATAGTACTTGTTTAATTATGCTGATTGTGTTCAATGATAGATGTCGGGAGCGCGGATCGGTATTCCAAACAAATTATTGGGACAGGGTCGGTAGACATTTCAAACAAACAAAATTATTAATGAAAGACGAGATTTTTCTAGATATTTACAAACATAGACTGTCATACCAAATATATGCAAAATTGACAAATATACAAAGAGGTGTTTTATTTTAGCCTTAGAAATATTTTCTTTCACTCAGTCCATTTGTCCTTGGGGGAAAACAACAATTATTATACAAATCATAAAAACTCAACACAATCAGGAAAGGAAACCCAAACAACCATGTCGTACTTCTGTTGAAATACATTTTGTAGCAGTGAGTCACATCAGAATAGTGTCTAAAAATATTCAATTCCAGCCAAATTTAGGTCAAAGGGTCAGATTGCGTGCATACAATTATAGATAGTTAAAACAAAAAGTATTTGAACTTGTTCAACATCTATGCACGGTTACTAAACTAGTAACAGTGATCTATGAAAACCAGAAAAATTTGTTGCACGGTCAAAAATAAAGCGGAAATTGTCCGGTCAAATTCAACAAGCAACAAACGATCGCAAAAGCGAACGATGGAAGTGGAAGTGGGTGGGAGGTTGGGCGAAATGAGTACTGTACTTCTTTGTTTGATGAAGCGATGCTGATGCCACATTGTCGCCATAATAAGGCCAAAATGAAGTGAAGCGATAACCGCCTCAACTTTTTAATATCGCGACATTGATGCAACGATGAAGCCATAACTATGCCATAATGATGCGAAGCTGATGCTGAAGTGAAGCCAAAGCTTTCACGAGCACTGTACGTTGTACTGTATAGGTCAACAACGTGACTGGTGTTAGTGTTAGTATGGTGGTTTACAATTTAAATGTCAATAAACCAATACATTTCTATTTCTTTAACAGGATGCCAAATATACAATTATTTTAGAGGAAGACTTGGATGTATCGGAAGATTTTTTCAGGTATGGTAAACACCAGCCTGCATCTGTGACATGCGTTTTGTCATCACTTGATATGAGTGCAAGTGTTGCAAGTTAACAATCAATAAAATCAATCAGTAGAAACAAAAATATTTTGTCACTTCTTGAAATGAATTTTAATATCTTTATTTTGCAGTTATTTTAGTCAAACAGTTCACCTTCTTGAAGAAGACGACAGTATATATTGTATTTCAGCATGGAATGATCAGGTTAGATTGTTTGTTTGTTAACAATACTGTATCAAGAAAAAAATACAGCAAATATCCTGCATTATTAATGAATGAGAAATAAATTGTGT